AATAGACAGTAAATATGATCTTAAGAGAGGCTCTCTGGCCGCTGTGGCTCCGTTGGTTGAAGCATTATCCCTTACCCTGAAAGGTTGTGGGTTTGATCCTTGGTTGGGGTGTGAACAGGAGGTAACCCATCCATGTTTCTCTCTCCCTCCCTCTCCCTTCCTCTCTGAAATCAATAAGAACACATCTTGGGGTGAGGATTGAAAAAAAAGAAAAGGAGAGGAAGTAATAGCATACATAACTTTAGGAGGAAAACGACTTCCTTTTTGAGTCCACAAATACATATGCAAGGCAGGGAAATGGATTCCTTTCTACGCCTGTGTTTGTGGGATTGTTTGCTGGACCGGCACTTATGGCCTCAATCTAAACGGTGTTTAGGTTTTGTCTCTTTAATGCCAGTGAGGTGACGGGTCCTTCCAGGAAAAGCTCCATGTGGGTCTGCATGGCTGCGGAGGACGATTCCACGGGGAAGCCAGCTCAGTGAGCTCCAAGCGTCACCAGGAGAAGAATCGCCATCCATCCAGGTGCAGTGAGGCACGTGAGGAAACGGAGAAGCGACTGGGGGATGAGAAGGGCGGGGTGACCTGCTCCCAGGCCTCCCTGGAGAGGGCACCGGGCGGGGCTGGCCTAGAGAGCACCTGGCACTGGGAGGTTCCTGGCCAGGTGCGCCGAAGTCAAGCTTTGCGATGTGATGACTTCCTTTGACATATTAAAATGTGATCATGAAAACGGAAACAACACCTAAGTGATCTGCTCTCTCATTTACCCTTGTGTTCTATGGGAGTCGAACCCTCTCCCTGCCCCCCTTCCAGGCTGTTCCAGTTCTTTCAAAGCCAGCAGTCACGCCCCACCTGCCTAAATCTTCCAGGGCCTCCTGTGTTCCCTCACACCCCAGCTCCCTCCATCCGGGGTCCCACACTGCCTCACTGCGACCTCCCATTACACTACTGTGCTCCCAGCTCTGGCCTCGCTGACCCTATCTGTCCACCCTGTTCCCACTTCCAGGCTCTGCCCAGCTCCCTCTGCCCGGCCAGTGTCACATTGCGGGACACATCACCCAGGAAGGCTGGCTGGTCAGAGTAGCAGGGACTCCCATCTGGGTCATTCCAGGAGGGTGAGGCCAGAGAGTGCTTGTGGGGCCAGCGTGGGCCCCCACAGAGGAGGTGTCCACGGTCTGTTACATTCACCCCCTTGACAAGTGTTTATTGAGCAACTACTATATGCAGGGGAGGGACTTCAAGGCAGAGTCCTGCCCGCAGGGAGCCCTGGTCCACTGGGGTGGAAGCGCACAGGTGACTTCAGCTCAGTACTAGGTACCGGGAACCGCAGGGCAGCCTCGTGGTGGAGGAGGGGGCCCTTTTTAAAAAATATGTATTTTATTATTTTTTACAGAGAGGAAGGGAGAGAGATAGAGAGTTAGAAACATTGATCAGCCGTCTCCTGCACACCCCCCACTGGGGATGTGCCCGCAACCAAGGTACATGCCCTTGACCGGGATCGAACCTGGGACCCTTCAGTCCGCAGGCCGACGCTCTATCCACTGAGCCAAACCAGCTAAGGCAGGAGGGGACCCTTGATGTGACGCCCACACATTAAGCAAGGGCAGCCGGGGACAGGCAGCTGGGGATCGTGTCCCAGAGGGAGGAGGGGGAGGCGAGTGTGGACAGAAGGGGCCACCGCTAACCTGACAGCTCAGGGAAGGCCTGCATGGCGGTCTTCCAAAATCCGAGACCTAGAGGAACCCCCGAGGATGGTCTGAAATTGAACTCTAACTGCAAACAGGTTAGAGTCAGTGGTCATGTCCTAGGCCAGTATCGCCCCCCCCTCCTCAAAGATCAATTAGATCTTTACGGGTCATTTGTCTTTTTGCATCTAATTCTAAGATAACGCATCTGTGAGATGTCTGCGTAACCTGTAACTTCCCCTTTTGGTTCCGACCCCTCAGGGCACAACTCATGGCACCGGGACATTCCCTCGTTGCTATTGTTTTCAAGTTAATGGCCAGCCGTTCACTGTGCCAACTGCCCGGTGCCCATCGGCGTCCATGGATGGAAGAAGCCCGTGCCCATCGCTTCACTGTCATCCAATCCCAGAGGCGCCCGCGTTGCTTCCTCCGCCCCCTCTTCTATGGCCAGCGGATGTCATGTCACCCACTGATGTGCCTTTTGAAGATAATTTATAAGAACAAGGCCTGAAGCCCGTCCTCCAGCATCATCTGCACTCGGGAGGCTGCTTCCCGCACCTAGGACGGCGCGGCTCAGATAAACGCACAGCAATTCCTGGTTCAGTGGTTTTTACATCAACAGGAG